TGGGGTCCCTTTTTTTTTTTTTAACCCTTAACCATCGATAGCTCAGCGCTTGCGTCAGGTTATTGGCAAATTGTGTAAATAAAAATATTAAAAACCTTAAATCATAACTTTTCACATAAAATTTTTTGCTAATCTCGCGTTCGAGTACTGTCCATTCTGTTATCCCCAAAATTGTTACCCCTGTTAAAAAAGAAGAAGAAGATTTGTTTAATTTATATTTTAAGAAACAAGTAATTTTATATAAATTTTTATATTAAATTTATAATTTTTTTATAAATTTTAAAATAAAATAAAATATTATATTTATATTGTAAGATACAAGTAATTTTATATAAATTTTTATATTAAATTTATAATTTTTTATAAAGTTTTAAATAAAATAAAATATTATATTTTTATATTTTATATTATATATATTTTTAAAAATTTTGTATAAAAATTTATATAAAATTAATTATAAATATTATAATGTATAAAATTTACTTATGATTTAAAAACATAAAGAGTTTGTTTAATTTATATTTTAATAATACAGTTTAAAATTCATTAATTAGAGTATTTTTAATTAATTTAAATATCTATATTTAATATGATAAATTTTTAAATTTTGAATTAAATTTTAATTAAATAAAATAACATATTTAATGTTAATATTTCAATTTTTATAAAACTCATAATTGATATGTACTATTTCCTTAAATTTTTAGATTTTTATTAAGGTAAATAAATTTTTAAATTTATTGATTTAGATAATTTAAGCTTTTTTTTAAATGAGCCTAATACTTATTTTTGTTTTAGTTGTATAAATAAAATCAATATTTACAACGTATTTATAAAAAGTTTAAAGATTACTATTCCTTTTATCTCAAAATAATAATTTTATATTTTTTAAATTAATAATTTAAGAATAATAATTATATTTATTCATAATTTATAATACCTTAAAAAGGATATAAAAAATAAAAAATGTATTTCACGATTGAATAATTAATTAAAATAATTAATTATATAATTAAAGTAAACCTTTTTGGTTAGCACAGGAGAGTCATGGCATTTGCGGACTTTATTTACATTGTGTTTGGTTAAAATGAGGTTTAGTTCGACAACGTTGTCTAGTGCCGTCTTGCAATTATAGTTGTTAGAAGTGCTGTGTTATATTGTTATAAAAAGTATTTTAATATTTAGTAGTTATAATTCAAAATAATTATTTATTGTAAAATTATTCAATTAGATATATTATTATTTAAAATTAAATTTATTAATAATTTAATATATAATATACAAAAAAAAGATTTCAAAATTTTATTAAACTATTTAAGAATTTTATTAATTTTAGATAATGTGACTTTTGTATACCTTTCCAAAGAGGTAGGAATGAATAATTTATTAAATACATAAGTTACAAAAAATTCTACAAAAAGTACCATAAACAAAGTTGTTAAACTAAGCCTGAGTTTCACATTAAATTGATTTCTAAATCTATACTATTGTATTTTAGTTTAATTTGAAAAATTTCACTTTAATTTTATGGTTTCAACTCGACACCCTTATGTTTTGTTTTGTTTGATTAAAATTTTGTGAAAATGATTTGTAATTTTACACTTCTTATGTTTGGTTTAATTAAAAACTAAAAATTAAATTTCAAACTTCTAAATCATAAAATTAATTTAATTCAAATTCCATTTACTTTTGCAGTAATCGAAAACAAATTTTATACTTTTAAGAGTCTACCACTTTTCTTTACAAATAATAATAAGAGTATTTAGAAAAAAATTTAATATTTAACTCAACTTAATATTTACCATGGAATGCACAATAATGATCATGTAAGTTATTCTTCTGTATCTTTTCTCTATATACCGTCAACTCGCTGCAAATCTGAAGGGCAAGTAGGGTTGTTTTAGAGGACATCTCATTTAGATATTTCTAGCTTGTTAATTTTAATGAAATTCAAAAAGTAAAGACAAATTCATTGGTTTTTTTTTCTTAAGATCTTTTCATAATTTATTTTGCCAATTTAGATAGAGAATTTATCTTAGTACCATAAATGTATTTTTATAATTAATTTAAATAAAAATACATACTGTAAAAAATTTTCATTTTAATATTATTATTATATGAATATTTTTAATTAGTTAATTAATTAAATTAAAATTAAAATTTTTATATTTTTTATATAAATTAATTATAAAATAATGTATTTATTGAATCATTGTGATATTGAATCATTAGCTTAGTAAGTTATTGTGATTTATTTGAATAAAAATAGGATAATGATTAATTGATAACGAGTTTGTAAATAGAAGAAATCTCTAACATTCGGCCATAGTTCCATACAGAATATTTATTGAACCTAGAATTTTAGTAAAAATATAGAATAAATCTTGAAAATAGATAATCTTTCGGTCAAAAATTGTATTTTTAGATAGAAAAAACTGAAAGTTTATTGTTTAATACAAAAATTCAAAAAATTTACATCAAGATAAAATTTATATATTTATTTCAACCTTTTCTCATAGTGAAAAAGGATGATTGTTCTATATATGTGAAAACTATATTTAAATTTCAAAGTTGATTTGTGAATTGTTGAATATATTCAAGGGAGAAAAAATTTTGAATTAAAAATGTTACAGCATTTAGTAATAATCACATGATAAATGTTATAAAATTAAAATCTATATTATATTAATTGAATAGGCTCGTTTAAGGGGGTCTGCCCCCTAAACTTTTTAAAAGAAATCAATTAGGTCTAGTAACTTTTATTTTTATTGTTTCTAACTTTATTTATTTCATAGCATTTTCATTATTTTTTTAGTTTTCAATCTGTTGAAGATTACATTTGTGATGAAAAAAGTGAAAATCAAGATATCCTAATATTAAAAATGTTAGGACATCCAATCATAATTATTAAATAAATAGAGTATAGTATAGGTCTTAATGTTATTAAATTTATCATATAATTATTATTAGATGTCTTAATATTTCTAATATCAAAATGTCCTGACTCTCCCTTTTCCCTTTGATGATAATAAAAAAAAGTGTAAAAAGTAAAGATAATATGAAAATGAAGAAAAATAAATATTAATAACAAATGTTTATTATCATTGTTTCACAAAATATTTGTTTATTGTAATATCTTTTTGCTTTATTTTTTTTTTTATCAATATTCTTTGATCCAATGTATATCATTGTCATCCTTTTTTTTTTTTTTTTACTAAACACCATAATATCTAAAAGGTACATTAAATCTCAATCAATTTAAAATTGAATCTTATCTAGTCTTATAAAAAGAAAAATTCTTTCAATACTTATCCTTTCATTCACAATACTTAAATTTGATACTTTCAAGAACCAGACATTTTTCGCTCAACAGATAGCTAGTATTATTGTTATCTTTCAGTTAACCACATTTGTATGTTATCTACTATTATGCTTAGTTATCATTTAAGACTAATAGATTTTATTTGAAATAAATTTATTTTATTAATTTTTTCCTTTTTGGCAACTTTTTTTTATTAACACATAATTACACTTTCTTAATATAAGTTTCTTTTTACCCCTAAAAACCTTTTCTGACTCTGCTACCATAATTGAGTGTCCTAGCTTTTTTCTTTTTAATATCAAAATCTTTCTTTTTTCTGTACATTCATTAACGACATCTTTCCTATCAACCATGCGCGCAAGACAGCTGACATCTTTACTGGATTCGCCTCCATCTTCTTGTTGCGTTCTCTTTTTATTTTTTTACTATATCATGGCCGGCATCATTGCAGCCCGTAATCATATTTTGGACTAAGGCATTTTCTGATGATTAAATTTCTACTTATTGTATTATATATAATATATATGGTATATAATATATGGTGGTGGTTGTTGCAATCCAAGGTGGTTTCACATGCATTAAAGAGAAAAGGAAAATATTCTTCACCACTGTTGGGAGGTCTTTTGAATTAAGGGTGTTTTATACCTAAATTCATGTTTTAT